CACGGCATAGTAGGTGATTGTATGTACGCCATGCTATGGTATGCCTTGGTATGTTATGTTTTGTATGCTCAGATCTATGATTTCGTGCGTTGTAAAGCTGTGGTGTACTATGACATGCTATGTCATACTATGTCATGATATGGCATGTTCTGTCTTGGTATGTTCAATTATGCGTTGATGTGTTATGGCGCTATTGACTTGTCATGCTATGGTATGGGATGTGCTGTGAGTGCTGTGCTACCGTATGCACTGCTTTGTCATGGTGTGTTACGTTGCGAGATGGTCTGTCATGATCATTATGGTATGTTCTGCTCGGGTATGTTCTGTTCGGTGGTGTGGTGTTACGCTCTGTTTTGTGGGGAACCTTGGGATCTGGCGGTTGCGGTATGCAGGGCGGGCGAGTCGGCCTGTGGAGCGGGGCCCTCAGGGATTATCGGGGGACCTGGGCATCTGGCGGCCGCGGTGTGCAGGGCGGGGGGGGGCGGGACCACCAGGGCTTATCGGGAGCTTGGGGATCTGGCGGCCGCGGTACAGCAAGGCGGGGGGGAAGCGGGACCACCAGGAATTTTTCGGGAGCCTGGCGATCTGGCGGCCGCGGTATGCACGGCGGGGGGGGGCGGCAAACCTGTTTTAAAATCTAACGACCCCAATGCCGTGTGAGGAACAACAGACACAACATCAGCAGCAATAGCAACAACATCACCACAGACAACAATCACGAAAACGTCGACAACAACAACACCAACAACACCACCACCCAACAACAACAACAACAACAACAACAACAACAACAACAACAACAACATCAACACCACCATAAACAACAACAGCAACAGCAACAACAACACCAACAACACCACCAACAACTACAACCATCATTTTGAAACTGTTTGCGGCTATCTGCTCACGTGCCATCCAAAAAGTATATCCCCAGCGCTCGATACCGGCCCTCTTCGTCTTCGATCATACCCCCTTTGGGGTGAATTTTCCTTACCTGCAACTCGTAGTTCGTACAGCCCCTGAGGCAGGGGAAGAGGGGACGGATGCAAGAAAAAGACAAGGGGGAGGGAGGAGGATGGAGCACGAAAAAGAGTAGCAGGAGGGGGGCTAGGAGCAGAAAGCATGTGCCAGAACCACACGGGCAGATCGGGCGGGTAGACCCTAACAGGCGGGTCGTGAAGGCGGGACCAGGCGGCTAGGTCGAGCAGGCGGGTTGCTGAAGCGTGCGCCTTGCATGAATCGCGAGAAGGTCTCGAGCGATAGCGCGATTCTCAAATAAACCGTACGGAAGTCCACATCGAGAGCGTGATTCCTCAGTGTCGAGGACGCGCCGCCTGAATAAATGGTGAGGAAGTCCCACGCGACAGCGCGACTTCTGCAAATAGTCTGCGGAGTTCCCGTGCGAGAGCGCGATTTGGGATTCAATTGTGGGAGAGAGCGTGATCCACCGCCGCTTTACTGTGGAAAATTGCCAACCTTTTCTTCCTCCGGAGCCCGGGGGTCGCCGTCTCCCCCCCCCCCTCCGAAAATCCCCCCCCCCCCTGCTGGAAACCCTCCCCCCCCCCCCCCTCCCCCGCCCCCCCCCCCCCCCTCCACTAAACCCCTCCCATCTACCCGCCCTCCAACGGCCCTCGCCCCCACACGAAGTGGAATTACCGCCAATAACCCCTCGCGCCCCCCGACAGGGCACCGGGTACCATCGTCCCCCCACCAACCCGTCACGGCGGTGCCTACAGTCCCCTCCCGCCGCCCCCCCCCCTCCCCCTTGAATAACCTGACCATGTTGGTTGCGCAGTAGCAATTCGCATCCCCGAACCCCGCGTGACATCTACCCCCTCCTCAGTTAAGGCGCACCACACTTCGACTCAGAGACGGGCCCACCCTCGAACGCCGTGGGGGGTCACTACCGGTTGAAACCCCTCCCCCCCCCACCCCCCTCCGGATCCGGAAAACCGAGGGGGGTCACTACCGGTTCGAACCCCCCCCCCCTCGAAAACCGGAGGGGGATCACTACCGCGGTTCGAACCCCTCCCCACACCCCCACTCACCGCCAGCAAACGACTCCCGGTCCCTACCACCGTCCGCATCACATCCTCCACTGTTGTTCCCAGCACCACTGTCCTCACCACCACTGTCCCCACTGTGTCCCCACCAGTGCCCCCACCACTGTCGCACTGTCCCCACTGTCCCCACCACTGTTCCCACCACGGTTCCACTCTCCCCACTGTCTCCACGGCCCCAACCACTGCCCGACTATCCCCACTGTCCCCACTGTCCCACTGACTCCGCCGCTGTCCCACTGAGCTGTCCCACTGTTCCCACCACTGTCCCCACTGTCCCCACCACTGTCCCCACTGTACCTCTGTCCCATTGTCCCACCGCCGTCCTCGCCACCGCCTTCACCACTGTCCCCACCACCATTGTACCCTCCACTGTCCCATTGTTTCCACCTCATTCCCACTGTGCCCACACCACTGTCCCCACCACCACCGTCCCCACCACTGTCCACTGTCCCCCCTGTTCCCACCATTGTCCTCACCACTGTCCCCACCACTACCGGCCCTCTACTGTCCCACTGTCCCACTGTCCCCACCACTGTCCCGCTGTCCCCTCACCACTGTCCCACCAACACCGTCCCCACCTCTGTCCGCACCCCCACTCGGTTTTCGAGAGGGGGGGGGGGAGGGGTTCGAACCGGTAGTGACCCCCCCCCCCTTTTCATGATGAGCTGGGGGGGGGGGGGAGGGGTTCGAACCGGTAGTGACCCCCCCCCCGGTTTTCCGGAGGGGGGGGGGGGTTCGAACCGGTAGTGACCCCCCCCCCCTGTTTTCCGCCAGCAGCGGTAGAACACGTTCTTTCAATTGTGAGGAAGTATCAGGCGGGAACCGCTGTTGTTGCAAACCAATAGCCAACAACAAATTCTGAACGCCAGAACTTGCCCCGATATGCACTTAAATTGAAAAACGCAATGTGCCTTGGAGGGGGGATCAACAACATTTATACATCTGTCATGAAAATTCAACAGCAACAGCACCACCACCACCAACAACAGCAACAACACTTAGCTTAAGACTGTTCGCTCTTACCTTCTCGCGTACCATCCGACATTTAGATCCACGACCCTCGATACCCGCCCTCTTCGTCTTCAATCGCACCCACTTGGGGGTAAACCTTCCTTTCCTGCAACGTGTAGTTCGTGCAGTCCCTAAGGCAGGAGAAGAGGAGAGGGAGAAGGATGGAGCACAAAAAAGAGTAGCAGGAGGGGGGCTAGGAGCAGAAATCACGTGGTAGAACTAGACCCTAACAGGCGGGTCGGGAAGGCGGGCCCAGGCGGCCAGCGCGGCGCGGCATCTGAATAAATGATGACGAGGAAGTCCCCTCGCACGGATTATACTCCAAAAGGAGCCCCACCGACGGCCCCAGAGCCAACGTTCGCATCCAGCCGCGCCGCCCATGGCGGCACACCCCTGACCTGGATCGTGAGTTCGGGGGGCCTCTCGGGGCCCCGTGGCGTCTTTGTGTGAGGCCTCTGGAAGCTGTGAGATGGATGGTGAATCGGGGTCCTCTTGGAGCCTTTGTGGGAGCGCCTTGCAGGACGTAGACGCGAGACCTCCCCTATTTTTTGGGGGACTACTTGGAAGCCTCCCTGGGGGCCTTTCGGAAGCATCGTGGGAGTCTCTGGAGAACTCTCGGGCCTTCGGGGCTTCGGCCGTCTTGGGGCGCTCTAAGGGCCCTCTTGGGGGCCTCCTGTGGCCCTCCCGCGGGAGCTCTTTTGGGAACCTCTGGGGCCCCTCTTGGGCCGGTGTGGGGGCTCTCTCGAGCCGCGTTGGAGCTCTCTTGGGCCGTCTTGAGACCTTCTAGGGGGCCTCTTCGGCCGTCTTGGGGCGATCTTGGGGGCCTCTTGGGCCGTCGTGGACGCTGATAGGACCGAAGAAACGAATACAGTCAAAAAGTATGCTTTCTGAAGGGATTGTGGCGAGTTGTGCCTCTTGTAGACGAGCGCGTTCCACTACTCGCAAACTGACCGCTCGCAAATGGCCTGGATCCCCCGCGGAGGATCTACGATCAACTACATCGAAGCAGACACGTGTTTTTCTGACGTTTGCGAGAAGGCCCTTCGCGAGTAGTGGAACACGCTCGGTGATCTTGGGGGCCTTCTGGGGGCCTCTAGGGCCGTCTTGAGGGCTGCCGTGGCCGTCTTGAAGCCGTCTGGGGCCCTCTTGGAGCGCTCTTGGGCCGTCTTCAGGCCCTCTGAGTGCGCTCTTCAGCCATCTGGGGCCGTTTCGGTGCCGCTTGGAACCCTCCTGGAAGCAATCTGGGACTGTCTTGGGCGGGCCAAAACGCGAGAGGGGGGCCCAGGAGCCGCGAATTCAAATTTCCGGCGCCCGCGGTGGAATTAATCGGGGGGGGGGGGGTACCCAAGGCTCTCCGGCATAATAATATTAGAGAAATATTCGACAAGGAATCTGTGTATACATAGATATGTACAAGGAAAAAGAAAAAGAGAGAGAGAGAGACAGACAGATATATAGACAGACAGACAGACAGAGAGACAGAGAGACAGACAGACAGACAGACAGACAGACAGACAGACAGACAGGCAGACATATATACATATTTATACACTTCTATGTATAGAAAGAGGGGGAAAGAGAGAGAGAGAGAGAGAGAAAGAGAGAAAGAGCGAGAGAGACACAGAGAGAGAGAGAGAGAGAGACAGACACATGTAACGATCGTGTAATACTTGTGTGTATATATCTACAGATGTATACATATTGAGAAAGAGAGGAGGGAGAGAAAGGGGGATATATAGAGAGAGAGAGAGAGTCAGGGGGATACTGGGATACACACATACATATAAATAGAGAGAGAGCGAGAGAGAGATGGAGAAAAAGAGAGAGAGAGAGAGAGAGAGAGATAGAGAGAGAGACAGAGAGAGAGAGAGAAAGAGAGACAGAGAGAGAACAAATAGAGAGAGAAAGAGAGAGACGGGAGAGATCACCCGCGGGCATCTCAAGCTCGAGCTTCTGGCCCATCTCCTGGCCGGCCGCAGTGCATCAAAGCCTGCAGCCTCACGGCCTCGACGCTGGCTGCACCGACCTATCTCCGCAGCCCCTCGTGCTCAAGCCCTCTCTCGTGCACCGCGTGCGTGCTCAATTCCTCTGGGCGTTGCCACGCGTGCCACGTGTGCGCGGCGGCCCGGCACGTCCACGAGGCACCAAGCCAACGACAGCCAGCGCGTGTGCTGCGAGCTTCGTATCGGTGACGCGCCCGTGCCGAAAACTCCGTACTCCACACCGCTCGGACGTCCGTTCCCTGCGCCTTTGTTCGGTTTCGTGCGTGGTTTTTTTCGCAAGATGATCCAGGATGCTACCTCATACTCCCTGCCGGGAAAAAGTGCACACGTCCGAGCGATACCAGGTGCATGGCACGTCCCCACGGCGACACTGCGCTACATGTGTGGACGACGATCAATGGAGAGGGAGCATGTCGCTGAAGCATTTCCAGATGTCTAAAAAATGGCTTACCAATGTCTTAAACATGTAAACAAAAATGTTGTGAACATTTTTAGACCATGCTTCAATGATTTTAAACACATTATTAATCCAGCGTCACGAGTGTTAGGATGTCCATTGCCATGGCATCCAGAACGCTACATACACGAGCACTCCGACGCGCACGCCCCCCTGGCCGTCCACATCGAAGACGTAGACGCAAAAGCAGCGAGCCCACCTGCGCCGAAGGGACAACGAGAATCATCCTCATACGACGTGACACAGACACATGCAAATACAAGTGCACCAGCTTGTCAACGCGAGGCTGCAAGCGCGGGCAGATGCAATACACTTCTGCGTTGCATCATGTTCCATTGCAGCGCTGCTTAACAGTCGAGCGGAGCCGCCTCCAGAACGCCTGGCAAGTTCGGGGCGACAGGGTGAGGGGCTCGAACATGTTGTCATCCTTCAAGCGGAAGGCGAAATACATGTTGGCACATTTCCCCTCGTTCCTTTCCGCTATCTTAGCTCCGCCTCTTTGCTATGACATGGACTGTTTCACGAACTCCGACGGCGCAAAACCATCATATTCATCAAGCAAGACGGCCACCGATGCTGCCTTTACACTCAGGTCGGGCGTGTCCCCGTACAGGCGGATTGTGGACAAAGAATAAAAGTACCCCAACAATGCGCAAACCATATTCAGAAATGAACAAACAATTGCACCCATATTATTTTCCACTACTTTTGAATATTCCTCCTGCAGAAGGACATGCCCGACTCAACTTTACCCTTGGCATGGAAGAAAGGGTCCTGGTGGAGACGGACCCTGGTCATCGGGGCTTCTCGATGCGATGCGATGCAACCCGCGATCCAGCCCCTGTGGGGCGGTACGCTAAGAGGGCAGGCAGGCGTGCAGCGGAGGCCAGTCCACAAGAAGCCTTCCACAAGAAGCCCAACCCTGAGACCCCAGGGCGTCCACTGATTTTTGACGTGGGGACGTCAAGCTTTCCTCCGCAGAAACCATCGAAGCCCAAGAAACCAAGGGCACCCTGGAGGCAAGCAGGGTGTTTCTTGGCATGGGCCTCCACTGTATGGGGCGGTGCTCTAAGAGGGCAGGCGCCTGGCACACGCAGTCCCCGAGGCTTTCCTCAGGAGAGGTTACTCATCCTGCATAGTTTTGACATCCCCTGGGGCCAGGGAGGGGACCCCCTGGAGCCCAAAGCAGCGGGCAACCTCCGGGCCGCCTCCGTTCTCTCCCTCTCGGCTCCGGCACCGCAGCGCCCCATGCCAGTGGGAGTTCGCCTCCCCGCTGGTCCTGGGGAGCCCACAGGAAGCTTACGCCGAAGGCAGAAGCCCTCTATACATGGTGGCGGGATGGGCCGAAGTCCTCTATATGTCTATATTCTCATACGCACCTCTCCGAGGGAGTAGAGCTCAGAGGCGATTAATGCGCACGCATCCGCGATTTTTCTGGCCGTTTCGCTCGGGACATCCTCGAAATTCTGAAAATCGGTGGCACCCCTCACGCAGATCGTGACGTCAGGGTCCAAAAACACATGGGAATTTCAAGATTTTAACATAAAACCTTCAAACAACACATGGTAATTTCAATAATTTTGACCCCGATTCTCACAGAATGGCGGTTTCGCATGAAAAATCCTACCAAAATCGAGCCCCAGACCCCTCCTCGGAGCCTCCTGGGGGCCTCCTGGAACCTCCTGGGGCCTCCTAGGGCTTTCTGGACCTTCTGGTACCCCAGACCCCGCCTCGGAGCCTCCTGGAGTTCTCCTGGGCCTGCTGAGGCCGCCTGGGGCCTCCTGGGGCTTCAGAACTACATGCACACACAGAGACACAAATCACGCCCAACACATCACACGCTAGACAAACATAACATACACACACACAACACCGACAACACACAAAAAGCACGCACCACACAAAGCACACATCACACACACACAACACTCACAATCCTAGGGCCTCCTGGAGCCTCTTCTGGTATCCAAGTCGGGCCTCCTGAGGCTTCCTGGGGGGCCCTGGTACACACATCGCAAGGTGTGGCAACACCAGTTGCGCTCGAGTGCGACTTCGCTATTTCATGTCACTCCTGCTTCAAACGCCCCTTCAGCTTGTTGTATGAGCCTGGGCACACACGTGCCACTTGTATATATTTATATATATGAATGCATTGAAACACTTACATCGATGCATACACCTATATCTCTACATATGCATGTATATGCAAGTCTGTCTGTCTGTCTGTCTGTCTGTCTGTCTGTCTGTCTGTCTGTCTGACTGTATGCTTGCATGAATACATACACATATCTCTAATGTATGCTTGCATGAATACATACACATATCTCTAATATGTATGTTTCTCAACATGTATACACCTTTATTCTGTCTGTTTGTTGTGAACAGACGCACACGAGAGATGTTGATACATCAAAGGCAAGCAGAAAAAGAGAGGGAGAGAGAAGAATAGAGAGAGAGAGAGACAGACCGCAAGCGCGGCAGTCGACTACGCCCTGCGTCTGGATCGCGGCCTAGAAGCCATCTGGCTACGTAATTATGGCATCGCTGGTGCTCCCGTACTTCCCCCTCGTGTGCCGCGCCTTCTGCCGCATTGTGAGCGTCGCGCTCAAGCTCGATCGCAATCCCACCCTTTCCTGCAGCACCAGCCGCCCAGCCTTGCCGGGCCGCGTGCTGCGTGCCAGGGCGCAGGACGCTCTGGACCGGTGCTGGCTGGCTGGAACTGCTGCTGTGAGCTCGTGGGGGGGGCGGAAGGAGCCCGGGAGGCAACTACTGGGAGGTCTTCGCCGGAAAGCTTAAGCAGGATTAAGCACATGGGCTGTGATGCCAGAGTGGGCCTCGGATTGAGCCAGATTCAGCGGGATTAGGCGGTTTACGCCGGATTGAGCGGGATTGAAAGCCGGAGTTCGGACCAGGGCACGAACAGAACTTAGCCCTCCAGGAGTTGCATCCGAAACCCCGCCCACCGGATGCACGGTGAGGTGTGCCGCGCCCCCGCGCGCGCGGGCTGGCAGTCCTCGCCCTCTGAGCGCCCCGCGGGCGCGGCGTGCGCCGCCACCGGCTCCATCCCATCGCCGGGAGGGCGGCCTGGGCGGCGCGAGGCGTGGGGCGGCAAGGCGACGTCGACGGGCGCTCCGCGGCGGGGAAGCAAGCAAAAACGGCGGCGCGGGGGGGGGGGGGGGAGAAAGGTGCACCTCTCGTGCGACTGCGGGTGCTCAGGGGGCCCCGCAGGGCCCTCTCCTGCAGCCCTCGATCCCTCCCCCCTCCCTTTATGGCCCCCCCCCTTCCCGATTCGCCCGATGCCGACACCGTCGCTCCCTGGACGTCTCCTGGGGTGTGTTCTAGTCATAACTTTAAGTCGGGCCTGTCCTCCTACAGGAGGATTTTCGACGAAAAAAAAAAAATACCCCAAACATAATCAAACAATAGTCCAAACATAGTCTGGGGACTGTTTTTTAAATACCCGTTTGGGGTATTTTTGGAGTATTTGTTATTTCGGAAATCCCCCTGTAGGGGGGGGCACGCCCGACATAATCAGAACTCCGAGGAGCCAGCCGTGCTGAAGAGGACTCTCCCTGGGTGAGTAGCGGTATCGGTATCCTCGTTCTCCGCTGAGAGGCGGCGGCGGCTCGCCACCAGACGATGCTGCTGGAGGAGCGTGCGCGTACGCGCGCGTGAAACGTATTCAGCTGCGGTGCGGTCTGTCCTGAATGCGTAAGTGATGGCATGACGAGGACGATGAGGACGCCGACGAGGACGAGGACGCGGACGAGGACGACGAGGACGAAGACGACGCCGTGTGCGCCGCCCGAGCGCATCCATGGACCAAGGCGAGTCTGGCATGGGCCTCCTGCCGCGGCAGGGGCGAGGAGGCAAGAGATCTCCTGTTCTGTGAGCGGTGCGAGGAGAGGGGCCCAGACATCGCGACAGCGCGATTCCTGAGTGTCGACAGCGCGACGTCTCAATAACCTGCAGGGAAGTATGAAACGAGAGCGCGATTATTTGATACATTGCGAAATAGTCTCTGGCAATAACACGATCCTTCCGTAATTTGCACAGAAATATATGGCGGGAGCCGCTTTTGTGTTTGTGAACCTGGGGCTCAAGGCACAGTTCGACCAGGAATAATTTATCACAGCGAACCCTGGGAGGGACACTTCATTAACAAAAGCAAATATGTTGCGCAAATGCGTGAGTCCTGCATCATTCGCCGGGATGTCTCGGGCGAGAGCGCGATTCCCAAGTAATGTATGAGGAAGTCCCACGCGAGAGCGCGATTCCCGAATGGCGAGGGCGTGGCGCCTGAATACATTGCGAGGAAGTCACGAAAAAGTTTCTTTTGTAAGATTGCAGCGATCCCCCGTAGGAACACTTCAATTGAAACACGACTATGTTACTGGAGGGGGATCCACAAACATTATTCTCAAGTAGCGGGAGTTCAGCAGCAACAGTGGCAACAGCAGCAGCAGCAACAACAACAAACACATCATCAACAACAACAATCATTTTAAGACAATTCGTTCTTATTAAAATCGCGCGCCACGCAACACATCTATCCCAAACCCTCGATACCCGCTCTCTTTGTCTTCGACCGTAGCCCCTCGGTGGTATATCTTCCTTACCTGCCGCGCACATTTAGCGCAACCCCTAAAACAGGGGAGGGGAGGACGGACGGGGGAAGAGAAGGATGGACCACGCGAGAGGGCCTCTCGGAGCAAATCGCGAGGAAGCATCGAGCGGGAGCCCTTGTCATCGCGGCTGCGTCCCCACTGGTTTGATTGAATTGCGAGGATGTCCATAACGAGAGCGCTGTTCCTGAGGTCGGGAACCTCGGTGGCCAGGGCCTCTCAGATCGCGAGGAAATATCGAGCGGGAGCCTTGTCGTCGCGGCTGGGCATCCGCGAACTTGATTGAATTGCGAAGAAAGCTCATGCGAGAGCGCCGTTCCTGGGACCTCTGCGGGCTGGGGCCTCTGTGGGCGCGCTTGGGGCCACCGTGGGCTGCGTTGGGGCGCCTCAGTGGGCAACGCGCTGGGGCCTCTGCGGGCGCGCTTGGGGCCTCTGCCGGGCCTCTGTTGGCTGGTGTCGGGGGGTTTCAGTGGGCAGCGCGCCGGGGCCTCTGCGGGCGCGCTTGGGGCCTCTGTGGGCTGGGGCCTCTACAGGCTGCGTCGGGAGCCTCAGTGGGCAGCGCGCCGGGGATTCTGTGGGCGCGTTTGGGGCCTCTGTTGGCTGGTGTCGGGGGCAGTTGGCAGCGTGCGGGGGCCTGTGTAGGCGCGCTTGGGGCCTCTGCGGGCTAGGGCCTCTGTGGGCTGTGTCGGGGGGCCTCCGCGGGCAGCGCGCTGGGGCCTCCGTGGGCGCGCCTGGGGGCTCTGTGAGTTGGGGCCTCGGTGGGCTGCGTCGGGGGCCTCAGTGGGCAGCGCGGGGGGGCCTCTGTGGGCGCGCTTGGGGCCTCTGCGGGCTAAGGCCCCTGTGTGCGCGTTTGGGGCCTCAATGGGCTGCGTCGGGGGCCTCGGTGGGCAGCGCGCGCGGGGGCCTGTGTGGGCGCGCTCGGGGCCTCTGCGGGCTGGGGCTTCTGTGGGCGCGCTTGGGGCCTCTGTGGGCTGCGTTTGGGGGCCTCAGTGGTGGGCAGCGCGCTGGAACCTCTGCGGGCGCGCTTGGGGCCTCTGTGGGCTGGGGCCTCTGTGGGCGCGCTTGGGGCCTCTGCGGGCTAAGGCCTGCGTGGGCGCGTTTAGGGGTGCCCCTGTGGACTGCGTCGGGGGCCTCGGTGGGCAGCTCGCGGGGGCCTCCGTGGGCGCGCTTGGGGCCTCTGCGGTCTGGGGCCTCTGTGGGCGCGCGCGGGGCCTCTGCGGGAGTTGTCGGGGCGCCTCAGTAGGCAGCGCGCTGGAGATGCCGGGGGCGCGTTCAGAGTCTGTGGGCTGGGGCATCAGTGGGCAGCGCGCTGGGGCCTCTGTGGGCGCGCTTGGGGCCTCTGTGGGCGCGTTTGCGACTGTGTGGACTGGGGCCTCTGTGGGCGCGCTGGGTCCTCTGTGGGCTGTGCCGGAGGGTTTCATTGGGCAGCGTGCGGGGGCCTCTGCGCGCTTGGCGCCTCTGTAGGCAGGAACCTTTGCGGGCGCGTGTGGGGCCTCTGTAGGAAAGCGGGGCCTCTGTGGGCAGCGCGTTGGGCCTTCCGTGGACACGTTCGGGGCCTCAGTGGGCTGCGTCGGGGGCCTCAGTGGACAGCGCGCGGGAGCATTTGTGGGCGCGCTTGGGGCCTCTGCGGGCTGGGGCCTCTGTGGTCGCGCTTGGGGACTTTGTGTGGGCTGTGCCAGAAGGCCTTAATGGGCAGCGCGCGGGTGCCTGTGTGGCCGCGCTCGGGGCCTCTGTGGGATGGGGCCTCTGTGGGCTGTGTCGGAGGTATCTGTGGAACGGGGGGGCCTCCGCGGGCAGCGCGTTGGGGCCTCCGTGGGCACGCTTGGGGCGGGGTTTGGGCCTCTGTGGGCTGTGCCGGAAGGCCTCATTGGACAGCGCGCTGGGGCCTCTGCGGGCGCGCTTGGGGCCTCTGTGGGCTGGGGCCTCTGTGGGCTGGGCTGGGGCCTCTGTGGGCTGCGTCGGGGGCCTCAGTGGGCAGCACGCTGGGCCCTCCTGGCGCTCTTGGGGCCCCTGTGGGCAGCTCGGGGGAGCCTCTGTGGGCGCGCGCGGCACCTGTGTGGGCTGTGCCAGAGGGCGTGCGGGCAACATGCTACGGTCCCTGTGGGCTTCTTCTGGGCCTCAGTGGGTTGTGTGTCGGGGGCCTCACTGGGCAGCGCGCCAGGACCTCGATGGGCAAGGGCCTTTGCGAATACATATTGAGGAAATATCGAACGGGAGCCCTTGTCGTCGCATGTGGGCCTCCACCAATGTGGCTGAATAGTGAAGAAGTCTCGAGCCAGAGCTCCGTTCCTGAGTTCAGGGGCCTTCCTGGCCAGGGGCTCTCGGAGTAATTCGTGAGGAAGTATTGAGCAGGAACCTGCGTCGTCGTGGCTGGGCCCCCGCCAACTTGATTGAATTGCGAGGAAGTCCCGAGCGAGAGCGCCGTTCCTGAGTTCGGAGGCCTCTCCGGCCAGGGTGTCTCGAAGTACATCGTGAGGAAATATCGAACGGGAGCCCTTGTTGTCGTAGCTGGGCCTCCACGGGCGCACTTCAGGGTCAAACCAACGCTCGAGCGGGGGCCTCGCTCTCAGAGAAAATGTAGCCGGTGTCCAAGCGAAAGCGCCGGGAACCGTTTCTGGAGTCAACAATCATTATTCGCCAGAAATGAGTATTCAACAGCAGCAGCAACAGCAACATCGACGGCAACATCAACAGCAACAACAACGACGACGACAACAGCAACAACAACAATCATTGTAAGACGGTTCGCTCTTACCTGCTCGCGTGTCATTCAATCTGCGTATCCCAAACCCTGGATACCTGTCCTCTACGTCTTCGATCGTACCCCTTCTTGGGGGGTGTATTCATTCCCTGCCACGCGTGGGCGGTGAAGCATTTGAAAACGAAGGGTAACGGATGACGGGGGATACTGAGGGCGAAACGATCGGAGGAAGGGAGGGGGGGCAAGAAGGAGGGAAGACTATGATTTGCGCTGCGAGTGGCGATTCAGCTTGCGCCATGGCTTGCGCCAGCCACTCCAGCACAGGATAACAATAATTTTCGCCATGGGCCGCGCCATAAACAGCGCCACGAACATATCGAGGATACCCCCACGGGGCGGCGTACAGCTGCGAACTGGTGTCAGGAACAAATTTCGTGGAACCCTGAAAAGAACCGGGATGTTGGGAGAGTGGGGCGGAAAGGTAGTGAGAACTGCAACCGTGTCGAGAGGCTCGCGGAAGCCCCAATTGAGAGCGCGATTCTTCAATAAACTGCGAGGACATATCAAGCGGGAGCCGCGACCCGGTGGTAATTTGCAGGGGCGTCCCAAGCGAGAGCGCGATTCTTCAATAAATGGTGAGGACGTATCAGGCGGGAACCGTTGTTGTCGTAAACCGGGGACCGAGAACACAGTTTGACCCTCATGACGTTCCCTGATAAAAAAAAAATGGTGCGAGCCCCGGGAAAGGCACTTCAATC